ATGGGGCCGTGAAGCTTTTATCGGGGAGCTGTGTAATTATAACACATATGAAGTGCTAAATTACAGACATATGATATCCCTTATAGATGTAATGAAGTTTAATTGGTGTTAATTTTTTTAAATTGCTGAATTATATTTTTAATAATTTTTGTAGCAAACATGCATCCAAAACGCGTATTAATTTTTAAACGCTTGCTATGAGTGGACCTTTAATGAGTTGCGGTAGTTCAATCACTGAAGTGACTGCATACGGACCGGATGACAGGGTTTCCTTGGGAATAAATTTTCCAGGACTTGAAGCTGAACGCTAATCGCCTTCTAGTACCGAGATTAATGCGTTGGCTACCATGAGGGTCACCTGTTGGTTCCATAAGAATTAATTTCTGTGCCATGAGAGAGACCGGTGGGTCACAGGGCGAAATTTATACCTGACATAAATCGACTCGGAGCCAAGTGTTAAGAATGCCTCAGCTGCTCCTTGTGTCTTTATGGCGTAGAGCTTAATTAAGCACAGAGACAATTCACCGTTTATGGAGAGACATGGTTTTAGACTGCAGTACAAATTTATATATCTCTCTCTATCTGTCTCTCATACCTTATCCACTATTCACAAACGTATTTCATAAGCCTTGTTGAGCAAAATTCTAACAGAAACCTTGAAATGGACTGCAATGGCTAATGCGGTTAATGCCTGTTATGTATAAGCGCATGTGTGACTCTAGAAACACGAGTAACCTGGATATAAGGAAAGTCAGGGGCTGTGGGGAACAAACTAGTTTGAACTGAGTCAGTGGGCGAAAGCCCTGAGGAATGAATCCGATTCTGCAGACATAGGATCGATGCCATACATTTGTCCTCAGCGTAATGATACTTTGAGAACGCCACGGCACTACGGCCTATAATTTTGTTCTACTATAAATTTACGGCCGTTCCAGATGTCTCTCTTCTCTGCGAATAATTTTGTGTGTTCTGCTACCATTGAGTTAGTCTCAAACAAAGACAATCTTGGCACTTTGGGAATAGAGCTTACGCAGTCAGTCCTGAGTTAAGTGACTTCTTAAGAATCTCTTACATGTCAAAAATAATTTTATTATTTTGCTTTTCTCGTATTATCGAAACACTAACTTTGTAACAGTCATGCGAAAAATTTAAGAATTATTCCGGTAATTTCCATGGAAAATTTAGTTTTAGTGTAAACAGTTCTACATTACAATGGCGCTATTGTCGTTACACCACAGAAGTTCGCACGAGCACGTTGTTGAGGGCATGGTGTCTGTACTTTTACGTAAAAATCTATAATTTCGCTTCAGAGATATTACTGGCGACAGATATACAAATTCGCACACACAAGAACATTATTATTTCGTAATCCTGACGTATTATTATTATTAGAACAAATAAACATTTTGTGGGAAGCAGAAACTTGAAATTGTCAATTGCGACCCCAAAAAAGAATCGTAGGCCTAATTGTAATACAGTTAATTGTAGGAAAGCAGAAGTCTGACTTAGTACGGCTGGCTCCATCAGTAGTTCAGTCTTTAAGACTCGCAGTCTATTCTTAATGCTGGAAAAACTGTGTTGAAGCTCATATTGTTCTCTGAAGTCAGCAAAGTATTTAGTGCTGTTCACGTTTCGCGGACCACATGTTTATAACATGTGGCACGTGTTTACCAGGTTATGTTAGAAGGTTGAGTGAGTGCTGTGTGTTGATATACATTGACAGTTGACGAATAAACACGATCAAACGGCAGCACAAGGATAATGGAGCTGTTTGTCTGGGAATTGTCTTGACGGCACGATCTCCGATATCAGATGCTCTGCAATCCCTCTACATATTTTCTATGTCTTTCGCATACATCATGGATGCCAAGGATATTTATATCAGGGATTTTCCCATAATCTGGAAGTACCAACTCAGAAACTAAATATATGAACTCGAAAAGACGTTTTTGACAGAAAAAGGCCGCACTACTCAGTGGATAATATGTGATCGAGGGGAAATCGTCATTGATCTATGTACTACTAATATAATAGCCAATGTACATTACTCTTGACTGAGGGAGTGCGCCGTTTGTGAGACGCGGAAAAACTGAAAATTTCTGAGGGTGGCGACTCTGGTAGCAAGGTAGTAAGAATGCAAATTAGGTTATAATGGCGTCTGTGCTATACTTTGACGGGCTATACGCTAGGCTAGTAGGTAAATAATATGTACAATGTCTTTAATTACCTCGAATGCTTATTGCGAAGTTAAGGAATAAAATAAAATGGATGGAAGAATATCGGGGCTTGCAAAACTTATATTCCTACGCCTAATAAATAACGCGTTTAAGCAATTAAAATTTCAGAAAAGTACAAAAATTGGAATGTTATTTCTCTGCACTGGTAGTGAAGTCTAGAAAAGGCAGGTCGAAGACAAACAGAGGAAGAGCTGCAGAGATGGTGCATAGGCCTGCTACAGATGGAACCAATGTCTGTGTTCGCGTGGCGCTATTCCAATGAAGTAACTGTAAATATATATCTTTATAAAATTGCTGACTGGGGGTTGGGGCGCTAAGGGATTGCTGTTGTTCAGAAGGGTACTGACTACCTGGAGTTGGACCTCTTGCTGCTATCCTTCTTGCCGGCCTGCAGGTTTGGCAGGTCCTTTTGCCGCTTCTCGGTCTCCCTCCAGATGCGCCAGTACAGGATGCACATGACCGTCACGGGGACGTAGAACGCTGCGATGGCCGTCCCGAATGTGATGTAGTGGTTCGTCTCGATGAACTGGATGTAGCACTCGTGGTCCGGAACCGTCCGCTCGCCCTCTATGTACGGCCAAGAGTAGATCCACGGCGGCCACAGCAGCAGGGAGATGCCCCACGCGCATCCTGCGAAGTTTAATATGCCACCATGCAAATTACAGGTAGAACAGGACATTCTGCATATTGAAATATAACAGAGATTCTTCAAGCTTGAGGCAAAATTGGACGTTCTTGAGGTCGATTCTGCTGTTCTGCTTGTTGAAGTGTAACGAGTTACTCTGTAAGCCATAGGCGGAACTGAATATTCTGAAAACGTCAGGCATGACTGAAATTTATGGTAGCTTTGGAGCAGATCATTTCGCAAACTTGAAGCAAAACAGAGAATTGTGTAAGTTCAAGCAAAATAGGATCTTCCACAATCCACGGGGAGAAAAGAAAATTCTGCAAATTTGAGGTACAGGAGAGAATTCTGAAAGTTGAAACGTAACAGGAAATTTTACTAGCTCTTGACAAAGCCTATATTTTTATGCATAAGGCAATCCAGGAAATTTTGCAAGGTTAAGGAAATTCAGGATATTATACAAGCTGAAATGTTGAAAGGATATTCTTCAACCTTCAAATATAAGAGGACATTCTACAAATTTGGAATTGTCTTCATAGACCTGTTTTGGTTGATGTAGCACTTTCATAACCTCAGAATCCCAATGAAGTGTACTGTTCTGAAACAACTGAATGACGAGTATGTTAGAAAACGTGCCGAGACTTACCAATCATGATGGCAGCCCTGTTCGTGGTTCTCTTCGCCCTGTAAGTGAGCGGCCGGGTGACCGAGAAGTACCGGTCAAAGCTGATAATGAGCAGATTCAGCACCGAGGCATTACTGGCTAGGTAGTCTAGTGCGAGCCACGTATCACAGATGTGTGGTCCCAAAGGCCAGTACCCGAACAAAGTGTACACTGTAAACAGTGGCATGGAGATAAGGCCGATCGCGAAATCAGCCACAGCGAGGCTGAACAGGAAGTAGTTGCTGATAGTCTGCAGCTGCTTGTCGATTTTGAAAGAGATCATCACCATTGAGTTGCCCACGACGGTGACCAAACTGAGAGCGCCGGCTACGATTGCTATCAATACCATCTCGGGGATGGAGTAGCGACCTGCCCCCTCGGGCATCGTGGGCCCAAGGGAGGTGTTGAGCACCCCCTCTGAAGATCCGTTGAGCATGGTGGTCGGCAGCTCACATTATCCGCACCCACGCAACTGCAACAGAGCGAGCAGAGTCCCTCAACGCTGGTGTACCGCGTGTGTTCATATTTGGATCTGACATAGGAAACTTAAGAACAAGAAACGTTTAACACTTCAGCCCTGGAGAACAAGGGAAAGATAACGTTTCTCCCAAACGTTTGTAACCATTTACAGGACCTAATGGCGTCACAATTCAAAATATTACAGTCGGCATTTTGAACGTCGTGAAAACTTCAAATCTCAACTTCGATGGTATGCTCAAACTTTGGAAAAACTCCAACATTCGACGAGGCACATCTCCGAAAGCCGTTACAAACCGAGGTAGTAGCAGTGACATCTTCCTTGTAGCTGCCTTTCATCTCAATTGCCCGTGCTGCTGTTTGTCAAATTATTAAATGTATGATTTGAGGTTTTCACAGCGGTAAGTATGAAGATTTCTGTCTTCTGGGTTGTTGCGCCGTGTAGTCTGGTCGATGTTAACCAACGTTTCAGAGGTCATACTGCCTCCGTCATCAGGACGATGAGTAAGACGTGGGCGACGATTCCGCAAACTTCTACCAGAGTACACGGCGCAACAACCCAGAAGACAGCCATTTTCAGGAAAACGATTTTCCCTGCCAATGATCTCTGTAGATACAGCGTTGTAAAATAACAGAATGAACAGTAAACATATTCTTTCTGTTAAATCTGTGGCAGAATACTTAATCTGGCGAAGCGGTTAGTGTCTATTAAATGTAAAAGGTGCCTCCTCCTTCCATGTTATCGTTACGGTAATACACGTCCATAGGTTATGATTTTCTCACTCCGGAAGTTTTTATCGATGTTTTGCGTCATAACCTTCTGTAACGTCACTCTTACGCGATAGAACCCGGGGAAGGAGTTTGGGTGCTCAAAGCTATGGTTGCTTTATATTCGTACTACACCTTTGTTTTCAGAAAACAGTCTAAAATAGAAACTCGGTTGCAGAATTCAACTTTGTTATACTGTAGTCACTTTCCAATAAAGGAATACGTCTACTGTTGTCCTTAAAAATAAAATGTTAGTTACATTTTAAAATACGGACTCAGTTACAAAATTAAATTACTATCTTTGGCACTTTGAAATAAAGAGCACACCAACTACTGACCTTTTATTATCGAAATAAAAAACCTTATACGTTACATACACAACCTAAAATTTGGGTTGAACTATTGATTTCTGTTGAAACGTACCGGGCCCATTATATAACATACTCATGTAATTGATTTTCCGTCTTCGATTTGTATGGGTCCAAAAAATTCTCTCTCATTTTAAGGGAAAAAGGTTGCATTGTGGAGGTCAGAAGACAGTTCTCAGAAACAGCCAATTGAAAATGGAGCCTACATGTTGAAAGGGTTCGTTATTTGTGTTGTTGATACAACATTGGCAAAATGTGTAATGAATCAGTCGAAGAGAATAAATTCTGTTCTGCACAACTTTTTGAGTTGCTTTAAAACCCATTAGCAATTTGTTTTTACAGTTGTTTTTAGAAACGTGATTTGTTTAGTGTTACCCGATATGTGTTTTGGATTTCTCTGTCGTCTGTGAATATAGATATATGCCTTGCGATTTCCAGTCTAAAGACTTCAGAAAGCATCTACGGTCAGAGGATGCCGAGATTTGAATCAGGCTGTAGCGCCAGCAAGAAAACAAATCTTTCTTCGTGTTGGTCTACCAGTCTGTGGAAAATGGACTGTTTGCTCTGTTCAGTGAACGTTTACAAATACTTTTTTGTGTCAATGGAGCTGAATATAGGTGGCCACTGGGCGTAAGAACTCGGCTGAAATTTATGTCGTCTGTTTATGACAAGATTGATCTCAAGAATGGTTCATTTAGAGTCGTAACTTTGGGAGGTGGAGGCGTATAACAGCCAACCGTTGGCTTGTAGTAGGTTTGTACGCAGGCAGTCAATTTAGATTAGCTTGACGCGTGAAATTACAGCGTAACAGCAAAGCGCGCACTGAACATCCTTTTATATTATTTCAGAGGTTATTTATTGTGTGTAATTTACTGAAAAGAAAGGTAATTTTGATCCAGATATTTGCTACAGTGTCTGAGAAGAAGTTTAGCGTGGTTTAAGTCTTAAGAAGTTTAATGAATTCTTCTCGGGCTACCGGCCGTGTAAGGTGGTCTAATGGAGAACACACCAACGTTTCGAGAACCATCTTCGTCCTCGTCCTCAGGTACCATGAGTATCCTGAAGACAAGGTTCTCCATTAAATCACCTTACACGGCTGGTAGCCCGAGAAGAATTTATTATACTTAGTAGCCGTGAAAGCTTCAGCCCTGAAGAAGTTTTCTACATGTTATATAAAGTGCTTTGAGATGAAGAAGTATTAAAAACAAATTTCAGGAGGAGAAAAACTGTAGATTAATGAGTGCTAGCCTATCTTAGAAGGGAATGAAACATTTGTAGTAAGACCATTAATTTATGGAATATAGGCGGATATTTATATCAAGCTAGATGTAAATAATAGAGTAAAATTAGTGAGTTATTATTAGGATTAGGGATGGCTAGGTTTTAAATTGTAAGAATAAAATCTGTGTAGCAAGGGAATAGCGCTTTAGAGATAGTTGTATTGGGCTGTAATCAACAAAATCCCGGTGTTAGACATACAGAGCCTCCGTTATAGCTAACTGAAATATATGATGGCTTTACTAAAAGTAAAGTTGTTTATGTCCGTGATGTTGTGAAACAGATAGAAGTTTAATATCCTAGAGGTTATTAAACATAGGCCTCTGTTTATGGAGAGTTTATTGACTACTTTGCTTCTCCGTAAGAAACATTATGCCACTACAGGACGCCCCATGTTTCTGCTACTGTGAACCATGCCCAAATAGTAGTCGTGTGAACTGTTGAGGTGCGGGCGACATCAGCGCCACTTAATACATATAAGCGTTTATTATTTTTTAAAGTAGTTTCTAAAGAACCCGAAGTGTCAATACAGTGTTCACAAGAACCGTGAGATTCTGTATTAAAGCAACTGAATCCAGTTCACATCCTCACAGCCTATTTATGTAACATCCATTTTAATATTATCATTTCATGTAATTCTAGTTCTTGCAATTGGTCTTCTGTAGAGTTTCCCAACCAAAATGTTTTAAATTTTGCTTCCCTGTACACAGATACCTTTGAATCTACAGGAATCCTTGCCCCGGGATCGCATAACCACGAAGATTCTATAAAATTTTATAAATCTATAGGCTAATTCTATCCGTTGTTTAATATGGGTGTGTTACTTTGTTCCCAACCCTTGAAATAGAACGGAGTTTGAAGATTATGGTAAGGAGAACTGAGAATAATACGACTTAAGAAAGGCGGAGAATCAAGGGAATAAAGGAAATTATATAAAGGGAAGTTCCGTTGGAGAGAATTATGTAGACAGGCCTATATGAGAACTCCTGAGAACTAAAGTGCCTAAGCCACATTCGATTGATGCTGTATAAAATAAAGTTTGTCGAGAGAATTATGTAGACAGGCCTATATGCGAACTCCTGAGAACTAAAGTGCTTAAGCCATATTCGATTAATGCTGTATAAAATAAAGTTTGTAATTAATACAAAATTAAAAGTGTAAAATAATCTGGTGTGCTTGCTAGAAGATTTTATTATTTGTAGTACAAATATATTTTCATTGAATACAGTAAATACATTGAAACATACACTTAAAACTCTCTTTATGTGCCTTTGTTGACTTCCATTACTTTGGCTCTGACTAGCTATGTAATACTAACTTCATGTTGTAAGCATCGCCACGACGTAGGACCAGGCTTCTGCCATAACATGGCGCTATAGAAAATATGTTTCGAGTTGGATTCAAACCCGCGATCTCGTCTTTTGTACGGGCTCAGACCGTTCTCGAATTTGAATGTGTTTCGTCGGATTCGAAACAGGAACCGGCTGTACCAGGTTTGGAATCGTCTGGTCTGAACTAGTTATGTAGTCACCAAGCACAGTTTTTCCATAACTTTGCATCTGATTCCATTAATTCTAGTCTAAATATAGCTGAGGGCGAACATGGGCCCATACATATTCATTGCCTGCCTCTGCAAATAATGTGCCGAATTATTGATATCTCACTCCTAATCTGTAACACTACCGAATATTTTGAATTGTCCCCGTCATTGGATTATAAGGCGCTGCTTCAGCAGCGCTCTCTCTGGGCACAGACGTCGCTTAACCAATAAAGTTCATTCCCAAAGTTTCAAAATTACATTCTTCCAACTCATAAGATGTTGGACATGGAATTTGAAATATCGAGTTAATGCTGATCAACAGAGGCATCTGCTGGGAAGTCTGGCAACTTTGATATGAGAAACTGTAAAGGGAGTCTGGGGTTTCCATCGATTGAAGTAAATGCTAATTCATATTTCCTGTTTGAAGAAAATCGATTATCCTTCTGAAGGCTTCACCGAGGAAATTACTTTTCATTCTAGAAAGGGGCATGAGTTAGCTCATTCATCACTGCACGGTTACTTTACCGCGACAGATTGATACGTCATTATGTGTTCTTTGCACAATTTGCATAAACTGAAAGCTGTATAGGGGTTGTCATGTCTGTCCGTCCGTCTATATGTTTCAAGCACTCGATAACCGCTGGACTGACTTTTATTAAAATTTGTATGAACGTTATGTTAAATCTAGAAAACACTTCTTGTGTGTGGTGCGCAGGCTAAAGGTTCTTTAACAATTGTGTTTTAATTACCTAGGTTAAGAGATGAGGTTAAATATGTAGATGGCTGTCTTCTGGGATGTTGTCCTATGTGGTCCAGTAGAAGTTTACCGACGTTTCAGAAGGGCTTGCTGCCTCCGTCATCAGGTCAGCAGAGACCTCTATAACGTCGATAAACACATGTTGCAGCAACCCAGAAGTCAGTCTTCTTCATACTGGCCGCCAGAACTTGAAATTTCATAAGACTGAATCTACGTCAACTTAATTTCACTTCGTAACAACAGAAGGCTGAGATGTACACACGAAATGTGTCCATTGTCCATTGGGAAGTTCCGGAAATTAAACATGTGAACGGAGAGACAGATGCGATTTTCCATTGCGTTTATTTGAAACATTTGCTTGCATTCTACCACCACGCGATAGTATGACGGTTTGGGGAATGTTGCAGCTGGATTGTCGAATCTACGGGCAGGAGATTTCATCTGTTAATTTATACAACTGATGCTTGTAAGCCATTCGACATACGTGTATTAATAAGACGGCTTGTTTTGTGTGCATTTCAATCTTTCTATGCTGTTTCATACTTTTAGGCATTAACTTCGTCCAAGAACAGTATAATAAAAATAAAGGGCCTGGGAGATAGAGCTTAAAGGCAGTAGAAATTGGATACTTAGACTGACTTATGGAATGAAGGAGATGGAAAGGAAATGAGCGATATTAGGAAATGCAATAAAAGAGCAAATCAGAGGAGATGTAATAATAACCGATTATTACGAAGTTTATCGCAGAGAGAGAGAGAGACGCTGTGTCGTGCTTCTTACTGAAGGAATGCAGTCGCACGAGTTGTGTTATAGGGGTAGAACTTCTAACCAGTAGAACGTCGTCCTGTTGGAATGCAGACTATGGAGCCGATAGTTGACCTTGCAGGGCTGTAGCAGAGCCGGATACCGGCTACCGCCTTGGCACCTCTTTAAAGACGGCGATGATAACCATAGGTTGGCGGCGTAGCCGAGGACAAAGGGGTGCGAACTATACCACACAAGTAATACACATTTGGGGTGCATACCTCTAGAAACCTTATAACATTCGCCATATGATTAATATAATAGTCAGCCAGAACTTTTCGCTTGTTTACTATCCAATCTCTGTGCTTGAGGCGGAAGTGTGTGCATTCTGTGAGCAGTTTATAATATTCAATTTTGCATTAAAAGTAAAGCTATCAAGAATTACCTCATATCTTAAGTGATTCTCATTTCTTTAAACCTGGAACTTCGTGCCATATCACACCGGCACTTTTATTATTTCGGCTACAGCTGGGCGTGCGTTCGTGCGTGAGCGCGAATAGAATGGAAATCAAGAACTTGTTTATCAGCATGTAATACAGTGTAATTTTATGATATTTCTCCTTAAAATTGAGAAATATTTTTTGTTGGTAGAACAATTCCTCAAACACAACCTAATTTTAAAGATGAATTTCAATAATACGAGGTGCGTCCACAAAGTAAGTTTCCCACTCGTCCCACAGCTAGCAAACCTTATATTGCGCGAAGCGACTGTGCGTACGTGATTGAGCAATGACGTAGCATGGCGCATGCACTAACGGTACTTCCCGAGTTCTCACAGTAGCATCGTTGCAGCTGTTGAAGATGGAGGTTCTTATTCCAGCTCCCGCCGACTGTGAAGTGCGGTCAGTGATAACGCTAGGCCGCACACGGCTCGACGGACAGCAAGTCTCCTGCAGGAGTTCAGCTGGGAGGTGTTTAATCATTCACCCTACAGCCCGGACCTCGCTCCCAGTGATTTCCATCTTTTCCTACACCTCAAGAAATTCCTGTCCGGTCAGCGTCAGCGTTTTGAGAATGACAGAGAGGCGGAGATGGTTGTCACAGTGGTTCCAATCCCAGGCGGCAGACTTCTACGACACAGGTGTTCAAAAGTTGATCCCACGGTATGACAAATGTCTCAATTCCGGTGGCGAATATGTTGAAAAATAGCTGGACACTTGCTGTATCTGTTGCAATAAATATTTCCATGAAATTGTGTTTTGTTTCTGTAAACGGCCCCAGGGAAACTTACTTTGTGTACGAGGCTCGTATAATCCAATCTTCCTCTTGTTGACGTTTTAAAATTACAATTTTGTATGAATTTCCCTTCTCCTCATGTTTGTTACATAGAGTAGGCAAAATTATGGTTATGTTCTTAAATATTTGTGTTTTTATATTGGAGATGGGAAGACAAAACTCGTTTCTGAATGGTAGCAAGAATTCCCCGAATTCAAACTAGTTACCTTAAATTGTATCTTTGGATGTAATTTTGATTTATAGCTGCCATTTACAAGTAAAACAGAGTTCCACGAAGTTTATCGCAGGACCCATGGACGGTCGGATAATCGAAAATGTCGGATAACAGAAGGTCGGTTTTTCGGGACTCTACTGTATCTGAACTTTGGCTTGCTAAATTTTCGATTTACTTATTATGAACTTTTGTATGATTTTGTACTGGATTCTGGTGACGTGGCATGCGTTTATTTCAAGACCGACCTCTTTGAACCGTTTAAAATATGACACTGAAGATATTTTTTTAGAATGTGGAATTCGTTTCATGTCACCGACTCTCAGTTACTACCACAACAAAATAGTAAGCAAATCTTTTTTATTCTTCGCAATATTCTGCATACACTGCATAGACTCAGTATCTATTGCCTCTGCAAACAGCATAAGGATTCTTTTACAATCCTCCCGCCTCACGCACACAAACACACACACAGGAACGCACTGAAATACCAATATGGAATTTGTATTTAAAACTGAAACCTGCAACAAATATTTGCTTCATGTCTGCTGTATCACAATGTGAAATCGTTGATTATATTGTATATAGTATAAAACGCATAACACTATTGATGGAATGCAATCGAATTCTTCTTTCAGAAAAATTTGTAAGCTTTCACAAGGACGGAAAATCTGATCTGTGGAACATAACTTTCTGGATAATAAACAGTAATCTGTTTGTAATTAATGGAACGCAGCTCATGTAATTCGGAGAATGCATGTTATCTGCAGCAGGCCCTGGTCATCGTTTTAAAGGTGCGCGAAACAGGGAGGGTGACTAGCGGTTTTGTTTATTTGGTTTTGGTCCCTTTGAACTTTCCTGTGGTGATTTCTTTCTCTCAAGGTCTCTACGACGAGACCTGGGTGATGTTGTCAGATGATATATAACGTTAGGGCCACTACATACTTAATTAACTCCCCGATCTGTTGCTGTCACTCGCAACAGCAGACTCATGTATATCTCGAATATTACTTGAACGTCCGACTTCTCGAACTACTTTTACTCAGGTACCATCTCTGTAGGTTATTACTTTATGCGTAAGTTATTTGAGAGTTGTCTTCGCGATTGAAATTCGGTCTCTCCGGCCGTGTCGAGGTCGCTGGAGCAGGCGTTCTACTGACGTACAGTGTATCGTCATTATTAATGATCCCCCTCCTTATTCGGTGTGAACTGCGTTGTTAAATCTTTGTTAGTTATTGCTGATATGTGTCGCCACACAATTGCGGTGTGTTCATCATCCGTCCTATTGTACCGCTGCTGTACATTTCTTCGTCGCAAGGGTTGACTCTGAGAGACTCCCACTTCACCTTAATAAGATGACTGGATAAAACAAAGTCCATCTTGAGTATTTTTAATCACTCATACAATAATGAAATTGTCTTTTTTCATAAATTTTAATTTTAGTAAACTTGTTCACATGAATCCGCAATTGGACCCTATATGCATACTTAAGATAACACTTGAGGATTATTCGCCTAGCTATGCCTTGGCCTCACAAGTGGTCACGTCACGACAATATCAGTCCGAGGGTTCGCCGGATAGAGGCGTTTTAAAATTTGAAGGTCATTTGAAAGTCAATTTTTCAGAGGCATATTGCTGCCGTTCTGTACGAATCTGAGTGACTATACTTATGTCAGTTAGAGGTCACGGACACGTCAGCACCGCATCATGGTCACGACCAATTCACTCGGTAGGTTTCACTAAGAGAGGCGTTTTAAAATGTGAAGGTCATTTGAAAGTCAATTTTCCAGAGGCATATTGCTGCCGTTCTGCAGGAATCTGAGTGACCGTGCTTATGCCACTTAGAGGTAACGGACACGTTAGCTCCGAGTCATGGTCACGACCAATTCACTCGGCAGGTTTCCATAATAGAGGAGCTTTAAAATGTGAAGGTCATTTGAAAGTCAATTTTTCAGAGGCATATTGCTGCCGTTCTGTAGGAATCTGAGTGACTGTACTTATGTCAGTTAGAGGCCACGGTCACGTCGGCGTCAAGTCATGGTTACGACCAATTCACTCCGTAGGTTTCCATAATAGAGGCGTTTTAAAATGTGAAGGTCATTTGAAAGTCATTTTTTCAGAGGCATATTGCTGGCGATCTGTAGGAATCTGAGTGACCGTACTTATGTCAGTTAGAGGCCAGGATCACGTCGGCGTCAGGTCATGGTTACGACCAATTCACTCCGTAGGTTTCCCTAATAGAGGCGTTTTAAAATATGAAGGTCATTTGAAAGTCATTTTTTCAGAGGCATATTGCTGGCGATCTGTAGGAATCTGAGTGACCGTACTTATGTCAGTTAGAGGCCAGGATCACGTCGGCGTCAGGTCATGGTTACGACCAATTCACTCCGTAGGTTTCCCTAATAGATGCGTTTTAAAATGTGAAGATCATTTGAAAGTCATTTTTTCAGAGGCATATTGCTGCCGTTCTGTAGGAATCTGAGTGACTGTACTTATGTCAGTTAGAGGCCACGGTCACGTGGGCGTCAGGTCATGGTTACGACCAATTCACTCCGTAGGTTTCCATAATAGAGGCGTTTTAAAATGTGAAGGTCATTTGAAAGTCAATTTTTCAGAGGCATATTGCTGCCGTTCTGTACGAATCTGAGTGACTATACTTATATCAGTTAGAGGTCACGGACACGTCAGCG